CTTATATTCAACCGATACAGACATCAACAACATATTTCCGACGAAATTTTAACGACACAAGTCTTTACTTAATAAAACTGGTTTATTCTTTCCGAATATAACTTTGTCGATACACTCAACTTCAACAACCGCGCTAAACAAACGCTATAACAACGAACGTCAATAATACTGCTGACTGCAGATCAATTACTCACTGTCTACACACACACGTTACATTCCCCTCTTTTATATACCCACCTACCCTATATCTAGCAAATACTAGAACATTCACCAAAGTACAGGATAATTCTAGATAGTAGAGAGCGTGAGAATCACATGATCTCGATGACGCAACAATATTATAGAAATTCTACAAGACACCCGGCCAACAATGTAAGTGTAACTAACTTAAAATACCATTTATTATTAAAACAGAAGAACGTTTTTCATATGTGTCAAAACTACTTGAATGGATTTTAACACCGAGTTTCGGATGCTCAATTTGTATCTCATACATGATTTAAACATTTACACTGTCAATTTGATATTAAAGTGTAAGGCGTGTGAATATACATAATATTTGGTTTTGGGGGAAGCAATATCATACTTCCTAAAATTTTATGCTACACATGCAATAACAACATAGATAATATTTACCTTGGATCATTTATGTACTTTAGAGTAATATAAAGATAAATATTTTATCTGCTCAAATAAACCACAATATAAGTATAAAGTGTACTATGTAAATTTTTCTGTTTTATTATGATTTTGTTCAATTAGACAATCAGAATCAAAGTTCTAGGATTTATCAGTGAATTGCTGTTTGTCATGTACTTGCTTTTTAATATTGTTAGCATGTTTCATGACTCAATATTGATCTTAAGAGCAAAAAAAGCTGTTTCTTTTTTGTGAAGAGGCTATATTGTTCTTGCAAGAACAAGCTGAATTAAATTTCATCGTAATATGCTCTAGTAATGTTGGAAAATTAATTCGTGGAAGCCACACAATAATAAAATTCTGACATAAAAATCTTTTAAGGTCTGATATGATGAGCAGCAGAGGGTCATTTATGTCAAGTCTCAGATCCAATAATTATCTGTAAACACCACAAAAAACATAACACTAGTTCTAGATAATGTATTGCCCAAATAGCTTGTTAGCATTTTAAATTACAACAACCAGTAACATGACTTAATTACAAGGAAAATCAATACAATATCATGAAAATCCAAATAAAGTATTACATTATAGCAAGGATAGAGATTTTCTCATTTGCATTTTAATTTTTCCTTTCTATTATTCCATAGATTACAATAGTTCAACTCTAGTATATTTCAAAATCAGATTTTTTTACTCTAAATTGATATAAGACACTCAGAAGTAAATTTACTTGCTGTTACAGAAACATATTAATTTTTAATGACTTATCATTAAAATGTCCAAAGTTGTTTCCTTTAATAGAATCTACCCTAGCAATTAAAAGTATTCCTGTTTTTTGTTGTTGTCAGTTTTCTTTACTTTTTTGTAATGCAGATATTAACAAAGAAGAAAAAGACATTCTGAATTCAAACTAATATTACTGTAAACCTAAACCCAAATTTACGATCTTGTTATTTTTAGTTAGTTGCATATTCGCGATTTCGATTTTCAAATCTTTTACCTTAATACCCATGCTATTAATATGAGATATATCTTTATAGAAAAAAATCTCACCATGACACTAGTGTTTTCCTACTTTCCAATCAGGGGTGATTTGTTGAGAGAAAACGATTAGAAAGGCTTGTAAAGTGCAAAAACTGTCATACTACGTCCACATTTACCAGGATTCTACCATTTCTTATAATACCGTGTGAAGGGCACTGAAAAAGGTTTGCATATGATAACCGACAATCAGTATGAAACCCCTTTCTTTATTGCCATTGGGTTAGGAACACTAAAATATCCAAATTAGATACTTGGCCCATTTTGTATTATTCCAATAGTGCAAGTTACTAAAAGTAATATAATGGTGAGGGGAATATCTCTCGTGGTAGAGGTTATGTACTCTGATTCTCAAGGCAAATATCATGTACCTGAACTTTGACGTTCTTTATTTCTATCACAATGCTATATTTCCAACATGATGAGCACGGACTCTTCTAAGATGATAATGGAAGAATCAACTACAATCGTATTACCCAAATTGTCTTAAATAATATAATGGTAACACCACTTCTCTTACTTGGCTCCAAGTTGTCTTAAATAGTATAGTGATAACATCACTTCTTTTACTTGGCTCCAAGTTGTCTTAAATAGTATAGTGATAACATCACTTCTTTTACTTGGCTCCAAGTTGTCTTAAATAGTATAGTGATAACATCACTTCTCTTACTTGGCCAGCAGAACCAACTGCTCTTAATCCAATTGCTTTGGGATAAAAAAAGTGTCGAATACCCCGTTATTATTCGACATGTAGATATTTGTGAATAATTTAGAAACTCCTCTACGAATGGACTACAATTGAATGGTGTTCACATTATTACATCTTATACAGTCTATAATACGCTGAGTTTAGTCTATTATCACAGCGAAACTTGATATTAACTGGAATCCTATTTAACAATTATTTCTTTTTAAGTTACATAATAATTGATGCAAACCAATCACTAAATACATTTGTTGTCCGAAAATACCCACTCGTGCAAGACCTTTCCATGACGTTACCCACAAACTTACTGTGTACAATATTAGTTTAGAGCAGATTTACAACTGAGTAAAATATATGATATGATCTATCCATTCATTTACTCCTTTTATTATGTTGAAAACTACTCATGAAAATTGGAAAAATAATGTTACTGTGGTACCTACGTATGTGTTATTATATGTAGATAGCTTATCCAGTAAGCTTGAGTGTTTTTATTCATATACCTTGTTTTTTCTTCTGGTTATTGTTGGATGACGTTTTAGGCTGTACGCTGAATCTTTCTTCACTGCCTGAAACACCAGAAGAAACGAGAGGTGTCTGCAAACATAAGACAAAAAAAAAAAAAGAAACAAGCAAAAAATGTAAGCACATAATTTATAGTGTTTTATGTTTCTAATTAATATGCAGTAATAAATCCAAGATGTCAAAGATTTATACTTCAGCCTTCTTTCCTACCAAGAAATTCTATTACTTACACCTGTAAACTAAACCTTAAACATTAAAAATATTGTCCCACGTGTTCTTAGCATAAGATTATGCCCCCCAGTGGCACAGCTGTATGTCTGCGGACTTACAACGCTAGAAACCGGGTTTCGATACCCGTGGTGGGCAGTGTACAGATAGCCCTTTGTGTAGCTTTGTGCTTAACTAGAAACAAACAAACATAACTTTATATTTACGGTATTTTCTAATACGCTTAGTTTGTTTATATTTCTTTACTTTCTATTACCTCTCATTCTTGTCGTTTCAGCATAACAAAAAAATTAAAATAGTAATGAAAATTACATGTTGATATTAGAAATGCTCGAAAATCAAACTGAGAATTAAAAGCAGCAGAGTAAAAAAAAGATAGAAAACGACAGCAGAATATGTGACGGAAAATAAAACTATACATTTAATATTTAAGTACAACAAATAGCAATGATTTATTCTGTGACAAAAATTATTTGAGAAAAAAGTTGTTTTAGAAAAACACAGAAGCAAGAAGACTCAGTAACGGAATAATGCCGATTTATTGTATGATCTTTGTTATGGCGTCAACGTCACAGAACTACAGTGCTTTAAATAAAACTTGATACATAATTCTTTAGCAAAAACGTGTGAAATAAATAAGTTCACAATAAAGGCCCGTGCCCAAAATTAAAGTTACATTAACATAATGATGATAATAAAATATAACACAAATATACAATTGTGAACAACCCCTTATAGTTCCGAAGCTGTAGAAAGATATAAAAAGCAACAGAAGACAATCAACGGCAAAATATTTAAAGAGATAATTCAATATTAATCATAACTCAGTTTCTAAAAGTTTTGAAATATTTTCCCCTGTTTATGGAATATATTTTCAAAAACTTCGACAGGAGTTGCTGCAGATCTATGAAAATTGGGCGTTTCTTCTGTGGAATTTTCATTGCCAGGATAACTTACTTCTCTTCAGGCTGCAAAAAAATGGGGAAAAAAAGGCTGAAAACTTGAACAAAATTGAAATTTGGGGTATTTATAATTGTTTAAAATATTGTATCTGATATTACTAAGACAAAAAATAAAAGTAAGATTTCAAGTTATTATTTTCAAGAATGGAACCTTAGTTTCAACTACCGTGGTTTCAGTTCAAAATAATAATACAAAAGAAGTCTTCCTGTGCAAAAATGCTTTTTAAACTTTTATACGTACTGGTGTATTTAAATGTTTTACACTCACAAAAAGGAAACCTATCATTCTGTAGGTATTTGAAGAACTTGTAGCATTTCGCCACAATTTAATTTTTCGTATTGTTAGCCGACACTAGGCAGCTGGTACATAATTGAACAGAGTTGTTTAATCATTTCTTTAACAACAATTAAAAGCTTGGAATGGTCTATTCTTTCATTAGGGGTGTGTCTGTGAGCCAGACTAGTACTGCGGATCGTCTTGTTGCTCGAGTGCGGTTCTCTTTGGTGAGTGATTTTTGACAGCTATTACTTATTTATTCCTTACTTTTCATTTGTGTTCATGCATTCTGGTCTACCTCAAGTTATTGAGCCCCCAATTATGTCAGATGAACTGCGCCAGTCACCTCGTCGTGTTCGTCCAAAACCTTATTCCCGATCCGCGGACGATGTACCAAGTCTGCAACCCTTGGTGTTACTCCTTCGTGGGCTGACTGCTTTGACTCGGATAGCTCTTCGACTATTACTGATGTTCCGCGACTATCGTATGCTGCCGTTGTCTCATCATCGTTCTCTGGTTCAACTACGTCAACTGTCTACTGCTGGTTCTACTTCGTCCATCGTTTCTGCCCCTAAAACTTTTACTCAGTCGATTCTGCCTCCACTCGATCTGCCAATTCTGGTGAAGCACTCAGACCTATGGAAACTACTGAAGATCCTCAGATTATTGTGTTCCTACTTTCGGGCATGGATCCCCCGTATTTCTCTACCAGGACCCTCTTTCTCGAACTTTCTAAATACTGCTTTCGTTCTGACGTTCATCAAATAATTCCGACGAGAAATGGCATAATTGTGAAAACTTGTAACCCTCAATTATGTGATATACTGCGTAACAAACTGGGCTTGCTTAACCTGGGTCAATCTACCATGCTCAATCAAATTCGCTACCCTGTTCTAAAACAACAACCTCCTCCTCGTCGTACACCTCTTTTTTCTTCTGTCATCCGTGGTGTTAATCCTGGCATCACTGAAAAAAGAGATCCCCTCTGAACTTCTACTTGAAAACATATCAGTCACGCATGCCATTCGCATTCAAAATTCTTCCAGTCTTACCTTCATGATTCGTGTTTTGGCTGAGAACAGTGATTCTGTAGATCATTTCCTGTCTAATGGAACCTTTCTTTTCCGTCAATGCTATCGGGTTGAAGCTTCCTGTTCTCCGCCCCCCCCCATCCCCCCCCAGGCTCTGCGCTGTGAGAGGTGCCTACTATACAACTCACATACCACTGCTAAATGCCCTAACCAACCAGTTTGTCCTCATTGTCGCGGACCTCATCTCCTTCGCCAATTCTCTCGCTTAAGCTCTCCTCCCCTCTGCAACACTTGCCATCTTGATCATCCTACATACTCCTTTAAGTGTCAGGGTAAGCCTACCCCAAGACTGACGATCCTGCTTCTGTTGCTCCAGTGCATACCACCGATGCCATTACCCCTCCGGCCAACTCTATATGTCTCCTACCACGGAGGATATCATCGGTTTGGTCACTTTGATCCTACAGAATGTTCTCCCCTTCTAACGTACTTTCGTTCTAGATCATATTATCCGTGCTGCCAAGACTGTCTTTCGCCAATTGTCTACTTCTGAACTTCCACTCTTGGGAAGAGGCGAGCTCATCTCAATAGGACAGATATTTGTAAAAGTTGATATGAGCTAGGGGTTTTCTCCCCTTTAAATTTTATTTGGAATAGTAGGTGACGAAAGCAGAATTGTATTCTGGTATAATACAAAAAATCTGACATTTTGTCTGAATTTAAGCAGCAAACCAGAATTCCCTATGTCTCTGTCCTGTGCAGGTGTAAAAATAATTCTATTTGTCTTTCTCCTGTATGGACAACCCTATAAAAGCCTCATCAGCCAATATGAGTCAAAGAACAACTGTAAGCCAGCCAGTAGGTGTCAAGGCTTGTAAAATGTTTGTGAATAAAAGCTTTGTTTCACGTTTGTTTGTATTTCCTTTGCTATCAGTATTCGTAACATTTCCGGAATTTACGTTTTTTCGGATACTTTTAAACTCACCTGCTGGATGTTAGTGTGCCTGAATACCACATGCATTTTAACCCTTCATTTGCGGCTTGTGTAAATCTACCTATCACTCCATAAGCAAAGATTCGCGAATTTTTCCGACGGGCCATTCAAAATCTTGCGCGCAAAATACTTTCCTACGCTAACATCATATGATGTATGTCAACTGCAGATGAAGAGTTAAAGGGTGATGATTGTTTGTTTGTTTTCGAATGTTTGCGCAAACCTATTGAGAGTTTATCTGTGCTAGCTGTTCCTAATTTTGAGCTGAAAGCATAGTTCGCAAAGGCTGTTGGAAAAAATTAATAGGTGATGTCTTTGTGTGTGCATTGTCTGTAACGGGATGCGAACGTCGGATCCACAGATCCTTAGACCAATACGCCAACAGGGTGATGAAGACAATCAGAAAATATAATTGTGTGTTTCAAACGTAAGATACAAATAGTTTCATATAAAAGAAAAACCTTTCTAGAATATTTCAATTTAAGAGCAGAAGATAATACATTCTCTACTTACCATGGCTGGATAGACGAAGGTGAAAGTTTTGGCTGCTCCGTTGACATTTTTGGCCATACATGTGTAACCACCAAGATCTCCCCAAGAGAGATTGCGAATTACCAAATCGCCGTTTTCTAAAATCTAAAGCCAAGAGTTAAAATTAATCATCTGCTTTTGTTACTCTTTTTCAATAGAATATGCTCTTACATTTCGCTAAGTGAAACAAAATTTTCATGGTAAATACTTATAAGCATGGAAGGTAATTAATTGTCTCGAATATCATATTTATTTAATATTAGCAAGCTGTATTTGATGTCTTTTTCCGTGTTGACAGAATACTCCTCAGGTATTCTTTACGCTGGAATTGAGATATTATTGCATAGTTATTGTGCAAGTATCCAATCCAATAACAGCACACAGAACAACTCAATCTGTTGGGATTTTGTTTTTCTTCGAAAAAATTAGTTACTTTTGCTAATAGTAAATTATAATTTTATATTAATCGCATTAAGTCACAAATGATCTGCACAGGAGGTGTATAGTTTTCTAGTAATCATAAGTTCTAGAATAAGTAACTGTACTTGAGGTTTCTATCACTGTGAACTGAGTTTTGATTTCTTTGCCAACAACTGTAGCTCACTAAAGAATCGATATTATAAGTATGCAACTTTCAACGGTGAATCGACATTTCCAATTTTGTTGAATATTGTTGAAGGTATAATTTTTACAGTAGGTCAAAAACTAGTACAGTCATTTTTCAAACAGTCCTCAAACAAAGCGCAATGAATTATAAAAAATGCTTTATTTTTTATCTTTATTGTTTCAAGAAAAAATAAATCAATGCGGTTGTATATATATATATTACGTATAATATGTATTATTACGTAGTTAATTTTACACTGCCTTTTGTATTTTTCTAATTTGAAAAGTCTTGTCTAATCATTAGAGTTTAGAAAAATAACTTCATTTTCACTTTTCTAGGATTTTAAAAATGTTCCATTCAAAACTCAGAAATAGGAAACAGATAAGTGATTAAGGGAAATAATAATATTGCATAAAACCATAAATTTCGTTTATGAAACTACCAACTAAAGAAATACATTTTTCTACTCTTAAGATAGCCGGCTTGTTACATAAGTTTCTTCAATCTCTTGTTCCTAAAACCGAAACAATATTTTTAGAGGCCTTAAAGCCGTAGTTTTTCTATTCACTAAGTCCAGACTAAGCTTCGATTGCGTAAAGCTTGCAAAGAAAGAGTAATTAAAAACACGCTTAGATTGTTTGGACTTGTCGCTAAAGGATATTGTATTCCCCCAAAAAAGTAATCTACTATGAAATATCAGTTACTGTAAAATCTAAACATATGAAACTTTTTAAAGTTATCTTACTTTATATTTTTCGCTGTCTTTGATTATTTTGCTCTCATCGTCTCCACGTATCCAATTGATCTGAGGTTGAGGATTTCCGGAGGCGCGGCAGAACAACTGGATGTCATTACCCTGGGTTTCAATTCTCGTCCGAGTCCACATGTGTATTCTAGCCGGAGTACCTGTATAAAACAATATCTTTATAATTTTAATTTCCAGAAAAACGCATACGGATATAGGTTATAAAGAAATCCCTTAGTTGTCCTACCAAGTGAAAAGTGTGGGCTGATATGATTGTTCTACAGTGTAGCAAAATCTATTTAATATTTTAACACTATATAAGTTTGATTCTTACCAATAAACAGCCAGTTCCACAAAATTCCCAGAAAGAGTACCATAAAATGAAATAAACTGGAACACTGGACAAAATTAATATGGTCTATGAATGCATTACATTATAAAAACTTAAAACCCAATTATTTCACCCGCTTAGTTGGTTATAAGTAAACATGTATAAAACGTTAAGCATCTTTAACATCTGATTAAATTTTAGCTTCTATATGTGTTGTATGTCAATATGAAGCAAAAAAGAAACAGTACCTATATTTCCACATAACAAAAAGAACCTACCAAATGATTTTTTAGCTACACAGACAGCGTTCCGGGTTTCCCTTTCTTCTTCTGAAAGCTTCAGATCCGTTTCTCCACTGACCCGTTGATACGGATTCTCTGCAATGCACGAGAAAATCCCTTCGTCCTTAGGAGATACACAGTCAAGATAGAGTCGCGAACGTGTTCGACTGACGCCCCTGGTTACCATCTCATTCGTGTTGATATCCTGGCTCAGTTCCGACTCTTCCCATGTTCCCTACAGAAGAAGAAAAGAAAATATTCTGGAGATGATTTCACACTTACTTTAAACCCCTACTGGTATACAGAGAACAGCATGTTAACACTCAGCTTCTAGTCATGGCTTTAAGAAAGTATTTGTGAAAAAAATAACCAAGAATATATAATAACAACTAAACCACGCTACATCTCCCATATTTAATGCCGATAATGCCTTTCGTGTAATACCAGGACTTACCAGACCGGCTGGAATACAAGTATAGTAGTAGACTAGACGATATTTATATCATCAACTTTCACAAACAACGGCTGTAACGGTGTAAACTAGATTAAGTAAATGAATTGTAATTACTATCAATTTTATTTGGACAAATTACAAATCAGAATTAAGGTTAGGATTAAAAACACATTGTTTTTATCAATTAACTTTTAACGCCGGTTATTTATTACTATTATTTATTTGAATTAACCTTACTTTCATTCAGAAGAACTGGCGGACTAGCAAGCCAGCTTTTTTGTTCTTTATGATAGAGAGAGAAAAAGACATATCGACAAACATACAGAAAGATTTATTATCATTTCACGGGTTGTTTACATAATCATCGAATTCTTTGCCCATTTTAGAACGTGTTTGATTTTTATTTCAATAAAGAATAGTGAAGTTTTTCTTTTAAAGCTCGTTATTAACGTACGTCAGTAAAGTTTTAAAGTGTTCATTCTAAAATCAATTGTCTTTAGTTTCTTACGTAAACAACTTTTTCCAAAACATAATAATTTTCTAGCAACTCAAAACTAATAAGTTTAAAACGAGAAAAAAATCATAAGAACAACTTAGGTCATATATGAAAGAAAGACACGCAAAAAACAACAACAAAAACAGATTGAACGAAAATGAATCGAGACGATCTCTCCTTTCAATTAAGCATCTACACTAGGAGACATCACTGTTCAACTTAAATAATCTCATAAAGAAAATACAATTGTAGGTTAATATGTATTATTTAAGCTCATATATAAATAAATAATCTACAATTCAAGGTTTCACTTTAGAGTACCTTAATAATACTGTGGGTAATTCTGAAGAAACATTGAAATTACTCAGGACAAATGATTGCACTGAAAGTAGCCTTTGCTGGTAGAAGCCGAGTTAAACTGAGAACAGTGTGGAAAAAAGGAAGGATTCAAGTCATATCCAAGATGAAGGTGTTATAATATGACGATCAATCTCACTAGTCAATTACAGTAGCCCAAGAGTTGGTGGAGGGTAGTGTTAACTAGTTGCCATCCCTGTAGTCTCTTACTTTTAAATTATGGACGGCTAGTGTGCAGGTAGCTCTCGAGTAGTTTTGCACGAAATTCAACAAACAAACAAATATATATATATATTAAGTAGCTAATCTAACGATTATACTTACATTAGCTTTTGGCCCTTTTTTTAAATGCAAATATTTAGGTCGAATAACTTTATGTGGTGTGTTTTTTAGTAATACATATTTTTATTTTAATTAAAGAGCTGCATACAAAGAAATCTTTATTTCAGGACATCGTACTGTATATAAGTTGTTAGATGAAAAAAACAAATATGAAACTGGTTGATGTTAAGAGTAACATTTTGTCAAATTTTAGTTCAGTCAAGATGGGTGGCATCGTGGAAATCTTAATTAATCAGTTCTACCCCTTCAGACTGATTATATTATATCGAATTTAGAACGTTTAATGAATGCGTCAGGAAAATACGAAATGTCCTTGCTAAGCGCGTTTTTGAAGGTGTGATTATCCATTTATGTATAAAAGGCGTATAAACAGCCCCGAATACCATCAAAATGCACCATTTTCAGTAAAAATTGCAAAGGTTTATTAAAGGGGCATGCCTCCAGACCGCCCCATAGTAGTACCCCTTTTATAATTTTCTGCCTACGCTCCTGATTATAATAACATGCAAAAGTTTCACAACATTTCGCTCTAACGTGTCTAACGTGATAAATTATTTTTCCACATAGAATCTGACACTAAATAAGCGCTGACAGTCGGGTTTCGATACCTGTGGTGGGCACAGAACAAATAGCTGATTGTGTTGCTTGTGCTTAACAGCAAAACAAACAAACATTTAAAAATAAATAACTGAAAACCGACTGTTAGAAAATTCCTTGAAACGCCAGGAAACTCTTCAAATAAGATATATATATATATATTTCCCTCACTTTCACCAACAATTAATTATATTCACTCGTATAAGATAAGATAAGTAGCACCTGAGAATATTTCTATCACTGTCTAACCCATAAGAATTATTTCTAAGGTCTTGTTAACATTGACAACTTCAGTATGGCTAAGGGAGGTAAGGATGAGCAACAGTTAAGAATGTTTATGGATCTTACAAGTGTTTCCCTAAAGCCAGCTATAAAGTAGCATAATACTAATCATTAACTTCTCAATCTGCGAATTATTTTCCTTATATTAACAAATGTATTTTTTTGTTTAAGTTGTATCATTGCTACCATGTTCTTATTCAAATGAATTGTGTTAAAATCACATTAAAAGTAATCCTAGTATATGTCGAAAATAGTAAAGTGTGATCTGAATCTAAAGCACAAAGTATTTGACCTAGCTGGCTCTCTACTGTAGAGAATAAGTTAAGTACTCATTAATAGCTTTTAGTAACTTGTGATAAGAATTTTTAAAAGTTGTCAGGGCCTTCTATGGGTAAGGGGCTATCTGAAATCTGAGACTTGATTGGCCAGGTTCACACGGTATTTCAAGTTAGTGCATTTCAAAGATTTTTTGGCATCTGTATAGACTTTGGCTTCTCACCCTACTCATGCACAAAAAACTGCATCAAAGAAGATTGTACCACATCTAAATTACACTTAGTCCTGCTTCGAACCAATACCTTAATTTACATTGCACAATGAAACTGATTTATAAGCATGCACCACTCCAACACAAAATCCTACCTGATGAATTCGGCGTCCATTTTTAAGCCAATAGATTGTTGGTGATGGATTTCCCTCTGCTTCACATTCTAAAGTTACACTATCAAAAGGACCTACTGATAGAAAACTGGCTGGGGTTTTCTGTAACCTCACACCTAGCTTTGGAACATAATGTCCTTCTGAGAAAAACAAACAGCAAACGGATATCAATAAACTGTTCCAACAGAAAACTATATTAACTATTGAATAATATAGAAAATAAAACGGATTATTACATTATAGTTAAAAAGATGGCGTTTTCCAGAGTTCTTTTTCTACATAAAGCAGTCTCACAAACCTCAGCAAGAGGATATGTGCTTGTAAGAAATTCGATCTTATTTTACTTTCTAAGTGTACCATTGTTAAATTTGACATCAAGTTCTTCTTTACAAATTCTTTTATAATTCATTTTCGACCACTGAATGTAAAATATAACATTTTTTTACATAATAAAAGTAGAATAGATCTTACCTAATGACGTAAGCTTACTGTATGGAATGTAAAGTAGCTTTATTACAGATTTTTACTTTTCTTCTTACCTTCTTTAGAATTCGATCGCTCTTTCACACTGAACTGAAAAACAGTAAAAAAAAAACAGATTGAAAATAAACCAGAAGTAAAATTATTGAAAATAAACCAAAGTAGCATCTTAGTAGAGGGAGATTATAATTCCTTTAACACATTAAGTTAAAATTATAATGCAGTGAATGAACATACATTTTAAAATACTTCATTCTACATGATCACATTGAAATCATAATGCAATAAAAACTTCAAACAGTTTCCAATAAGAATCCATTTATAAAAAGTAGTTGGACCAACAAACATTGACCAGTTTTGTGCTTAGTTGCTGAAAATTTAACTAAAGATTTATTTATAATTTTAATAGATAAACGAGAAAAGAATAACGACTATATTCTTATCGTAGACTTTTCAAAACAAGCTATTTCGTTTGTTAGCTGGATCTACCAACGTTGTTTCTAAATATGCTAAAGTTGTATTTTGTGAATGGTTTCAGTTTACATATGTTTAACACAAGATAGGGTGACTAACTGCGAAGAAACATAAATGATATTCAGTTTGGCGGTGTGGTCGTAGAAGCTTCTAGAAATTTGCCTGTTACTCATAATTAAGACTATTTATTATTAATTTTAATTTCTATTTTAATTTTTTAGCAGCTCTCCTGGTTGAAGGTATTACAGAAACTAGTCAATCTCTGAATGTGTGTAACTAATTATATATATATATATATATGTAATTGAGCACATATCAGAAACTGGCTAATTGTTCCATAAACAAGGAAAGTAGTTTCAAAAAGTCCAAAGATTATGAGCAACTTCTTTCTTCTTTAGGTTAGTTTGATAAACAGTTTGAATGCTTTATCATCGTGCCGAAGATGAAGCTCACTTAGTGAGTATACTAGATACCCTTACTCACCACTATAAAGTGTTAGGCCATCTGTAATTCAATACAGTGTGTTGATTTTAGTTTTAGTTGTTGTTTTTTGTTTTTTGTCTTTAGTGCGTTACATACATTAGTTAGTCAAGAATAGAAAAATATTATAGATTTTTAATTAATTAAATATTATTATCAAAATAAGTTACCAATAAAATGTTTATTTGTAATTCATTAAATTATTGGTGAAACGTCTTCTCAGAACTATTAATATACACGATGTTACACATATAATAGCCTGATTCCTTCTTTATTTTCACACTCAACACCGGAAACATTTATTATTTAATGTGCTAGATATGTGTATATATATATTGTTGTATAAATACAGATAACCAACTTATTGTATTTGCATCAAAAGTATATAGGCAAATATTCAGCATCATATGGCTAACATAAATAAGATGAACGAATATAAAATGTAAAAACTAAATTTAATTGAAAAAATTATTGCGCCAACAACACAGACAAATAACAAAGTTAAGAATTATACTATTTGTCAAGGAAGTACAAAAGGTATAATTTTGAAAAGAATGTATTTTATTAGTTTATAAAATTAGAAATCTGAAAATATAAATGAAGATGGTGTTCAGTAAACATATCTAACAAAAAAAAATTAATGACAGTTACTTACTCCTGGGTCGCTTTGTGTCTTCTTATACTCCACTTGTCTGCTCAGAGCAAAATGTACAACGAACAACATAACTATCAACTGAATGGTTATGGGATACATGCTTGCCAGATCTTCTTCGTGCACAGGATCGCACAGATAATTTGTCCACCTAGTGGTGAATAGTATAACTAACTACAAAGTGACAGTGTACTTCAACAAAATTTAACCATCACATTTATCTTTTGTGTATTTGATGTTAGTTTAAATAAAATTTGCAATAGACATGGGTTTCTATAAAAATGAATCTATAAATTACTAGATTTATCAATACATAAGACAAATATTTCATGTAATAATACATTAAACTAGTTAAGTGCTAGCGTGTAAAGCAACCTTATCAATCCACAAATATTTATAGACGCATCATCTATCACCATTCTTACAACATTTGTGTTTAATATATATCGATTAAATGTTATTTTCAACAAATGTAGTGACCTGACATAAAATTCCCTATCGAAAAAAAAAAGCAAATGAATTTTGCTGCAGTGGTTGAACGTAACCTTGGTGTATTTGACTTAAGTAAACATGAATTTATAATGCAAATGATATTTTAATTACAAAATTGTGCAGCATATTAAATTTATTTGCAAGAACGTTTTACTTATTTTATTTAACTGCGTATTTAGTTATTTTTCTGTGAATGGCTACAATAACATTTCACTATGCAACTTTATGTAAAATATTGAAAAACAGAGAACGTTAGAGTTAGACTTGCTACACAATTTTGAATGAGAACATTAAAATATCTTGAAATTCAGTTTACAACCTTACATTTGTTATATAAACTTTTTCAGAACGTAGTTCCAGGAAAAATTTTAAACTCTTTTGTTTTATTATGTACTAGTTGCGCGATTAAGAGCTAAGTTATCTCTATCCTTGATGTTCTTATTTGTTGTCTTAGAAATCTGCAACAATATAGACTGTTTAGCTAATTTACAGAACACTTCATCAAATAAAGTATGTTACTCATCCTTATAGAACACTTCATCAAATAAAGTATGTTACTCACCCTTATAGAACACTTCATCAAATAAAGTATGTTACTCACCCTTATAGAACACTTCATCAAATAAAGTATGTTACTCACCCGTATAGAACACTTCATCAAATAAAGTATGTTACTCACCCTTACGGAACGCTTCATCAAATAAAGTATGTTATTCACCCTTCCACAACACTTCATCAAATAAAGTATGTTACTCACCCTTATAGAACACTTCATTAAATAAAGTATGTTACTCACCCTACGGAACACTTCATCAAACAAAATATGTTACTCACCCTTACAGAACACTTCATCAAATAAAGTATGTTACTCACCCGTATAGAACACTTCATCAAATAAAGTATGTTACTCACCCTTACGGAACGCTTCATCAAATAAAGTATGTTATTCACCCTTCCACAACACTTCATCAAATAAAGTATGTTACTCACCCTTATAGAATACTTCATTAAATAAAGTATGTTACTCACCCTTACAGAAGAAATTCTTAGCACTAGAAACTTTAACAACTCAAATCTTTTAGGCAAAAAACAGTATTTCAGAATCCCTAAATAATCATTCCTGCAGCTTTTAATTGTACATATTTTTATAGCCTTACCTAAGATCAAGTTCGATACACATTAGAGTTAAATTTATACATTAGAACTAATCATTTCTAAACTTTGAAATGTAGCAAATCAATTTATCTACATTAAAGTTCTTATACATTTTAAAATACGGTTATGAATACCTTTTCATGCTTATCTTTCAGTCATGTAAACAACTTCAAATTGCAAACAAAATTTTGGGCTTTCTTGTCACAAGATTTACTAAAAAATATTTTATAGCCAGCAACACGATAGTTAAAGAAAAATATACTTGTTAGGACTTTAAAGTATGGTATTGCCCTTGAAAACACACCCAATATCCCCTCATTTATGTGATGAGTTATAACTTCGCCAACAATACATAATACACACATATATATATATATATATATATTATGTACTGTTAACATGCAACGCTCTTAATTTATGAGTTGCAGCTATTTAACAATATATATAAAGAATCTAATATAAATATGTTTGGTTAGATTGCACAGATAGTTAAGATTTATATTTTGAGTTTAGGAATATGTGATTCAGTGCGATCTGCATTCTAAAAATGGACGATACTTTCTCTTTAAGCTTGTTTTTACACTATCTTTACTCTAAACTGATTTAGATAATCAGAAGAAATGACGTAGTTATAAAGTTGCCTTAAATACCGAATCTTAGTTAATTAAATTAACATTGATTAAATAAAAAATTCGAAATCGTGATTTGTCTACTTAAAAATAAAATACTAATCACTCACGCAAGTGATTCAGGAGACGAAAATACGCTAAAGACTTTCTAAGTTATGGAATTAAATTGCCTAAGGTTCTGAAATAATATATATTTTTTAACAAATGAACTCACGTTACGAGCGAGAAGAGAGAACTTCCTTGCTTCTAGATTTCCACGGTTAGTGATCCATGTGCATGTAATGAGTCTACTTTTATAAAGTGGCATTCACATGAATACTGATTTAATCAGTAGAGCAAAATTTCATGCATACATTAACATAAACTTTTGTTTCTAATGACTGAAAGTATGCTACACCTCCTCTTCTAATCCTCAAACCCTTGTCATCCTCGCCGGCGACCCCAGCAAGCAAATATTTCTTTATTATTACATCATACAGGGATGGAAGTTCAACGTAAGAGAGGGGGAGGGAACGACAAATGTACTGACCAATCGACTTTGCTTGAAGGTTGTATTCAATTTATTATATTTTTTAATCGTGAAAGAATAATTGCATCGTTCTATAGCGAAGTAGGGCTTGATATACATTCGAGGTTTTCTGTAATCGTTCTAAAACGTCGCATCATATTCCTTTCATAGAAGTGCATGCCCTAAGCGTTCACTTTTAAATAAGACTTCTAAGCTTCTGGGAAGTCTAATTAAAAGTTCGATCATTTGAACTGAAGAATAAATTCAGTGCAACCAAGGATTATGCCATGTGATAAGCACGTGCTCCGATGAGATGTCCGAATAAAGTCCTTATGTCATCTCACAAACATTTGTGCGAACACAATTTTAAACCTCAAAAAATAAAATAAAAACCTTGACGATATTGCACAAGTAATGCATTGCTGCATATGAATGAGTGAGTCTTCTTGTATTCTATCAGCTTTAATGGTGACTGACAGGCAAAGGACTAAGCTATATTTTTTCATATTCACATATAAGCATTATTCACACGAAGTACTGATCTATCAGTAGAGTCAAATTTTATGCATATATATATTATCACAAACTTTTGTTTGTAATGGTTAAAGGAATTGTGACCTCTCCTCTTCTCATCCTCGCCAGTGAACTCAATGAGGCTTCAATTTTTTCAAAATCACATCGCACATTTACGGAAGGACGACGTAAAAGCGAATGTACTTTTTTTTTCCTGCCAAATAATGACTTTAAGTAGGACATAATATTTACTCGAGGCTAAAATAATTACTGATGCAAGATGCATCTCTTCCCGTGTTCAGCATATAAGACAAAATATAGATGTATATAAATAGATGTGGTGATATATATGGCACAATTTAAATAACTGAAGTAATTTTTTCTGTGCATAATTAATGATATCCTTGCAAATCGTATATCGAAAGGTCGTGAACATGTATTAATCCATTTGTTTAGATCTAGGTTATATTCCACAGCAGATATCTCATGGCAACTTGTAGCAGTTTGATCCTGTAACTGTTTCCACTCCCTGGAGGCAGACAAACCTCTCTCGATATGTAACATGAACATTATATGTTGGTATCAGTTGAATATTCTTAACCTTGTGTATGTTATTTGTTGACGAAGGTAATCTACGACTTCTTTGTCTGACTCGAGAATGTAGCATTTCTTTAATCTTTCTGTCCATGTCCTGTGTAGAAGTACTTGGAAATCTCGCCTACTACAGCAACTTTTGAGAAGTATTAGGGAAAGTAAGAAGTCATTTAATTTTGAGTTAAGTATCCCACTATTATGAATAAAGATTTTATTTATTTGTTCACTTGTGTTTGTTTGTTTTCCGTTTTAAATATTCCATACATAACATTTTCTCAACCTATATTTTTGCAAAATCTTGTGGCTGCGTGTTAGATATCAGTGTACCTGAATACCACATATAAGTTTGCAACCACAACCAGTGGTACCAACAGGGAGTGCTGGGGGACAGTCGTCTGAGTAAAGCCTTATTATTGTTTTTTGTTTTGTTTTTATAAATGTAAAATGTCTGGTCTGTGGCTTATGTTTATAGGAAATACTAAATATATACAAAGTCGAAAGTTCCATATTTCTTTCGTTGTTGTCAGTATTCCTCATAACCTCCTGGCTCTTACGTAGTTGTTACAGTTGACGTACTAACTCTGAAACGTGCTACATCATTAACAGTTTCATGTATTCTGTAGAAATTAGGGTTCCACTTTGCCTCCTCCTCCCAAGATTTTGCTGAAATGGGGCCACTGACCAGAATTCTGTCATACCAGTTTATTTTAAATTTTTGTCATTCTCCAGTGTTGATGATATTTTGTAACACTGATTTTTAAACATCATTGTAATACTTGAAAAGCACATGTCACTTTTAGAATAGGATTAAGCTAGAAAACATTTAGTGTGGCAAGTGCGAACAGACAAATGAAAATAAAGGTTAGGTAGACAGATCATTTGATAAAGGTATAAATAATTATTCATGAAAAATTTATATTTGGTGCTTCAAAAACTATTAAGATTCAGCTGCCATTGTATGAAAGTGTTTCATTTAAATCCATCCAAGAATAAATGAGGTGCGGTAATAACTTCCTAAAAATTTAAACACTGGTATCGTTATGCACTCCATACTAAGAGCTTGTTCATATATGGTGGGAAGTTAAGAGTAAGAAGTCAGAAATGTCACGGAGGTCAAAATCTTTCAAGCAATTGGTGTCTATAAATAACGTTACTCTATTTATTTCACTGCCAAAAAAATCCTTGAGAAAATAAATGTTATGTTGTTAACATGAATATATCACACGTTAAAAACACTTTACTCATATAACACATACACATGATTAAAGGAACAGAGTACACATGCGAGAGCAATAAAAATTTATTCAGTTGTAGAATGAGGTGTATTATACATATATAAGCTTTCCGCGTCTCCTTCAATGTGTACTTGTGTTGAAACGGATATCCGCTAATTCATTTTGACGGCTCAGTGATTAATAGCTAAACACTTCCAATATAACTGTAAATGTTGGGTATGTGGGTGAACCTTGCTTATCACTTCCATCTTTTGGATCAGTCCACCTGATTACATCGGTAGTTTTGATGCATTTAAAGAAAATATGTATCTTTGATCTTAATTAAAAATGAATTACTGGGATTTTCCACCACCACTTTCTACAAGGTTTGGGTGCGTCTAATAATCAACGACAGAGTTAACTTTAGTTGTGACAAAATTCATGAGGAAGCGTCTGACATATACTAAAACGTTAGTAACACATAAGCAAAGTGTTGTATGTCTCTGACATTGGCCTATAGACCCTCAATACACACACACATGCACATTGAATTTGTATAGAAAACTTTTCACATTTCATTGCATAATTAATTCTACATAATTTTACCCGTTGATTCCAATAGAAGCATATTTTCAAACATATAGAATTCTCTATAAGCTAATTCAAACTATAGAAACTTTATCCGTTACTTAGCCTTGTAAAGCTAGTAACATTTCAGTTCGACATAAAGGAAAACCTATTTGCCAGGTTCAATCATATGCATATATTCGCGTAATATAAGCAGCGGAAAGTTACATATAAACAGACGGCACTGGATGTGTAAATTGTAATCCACGTTTCTGTTACCGTCAACCTTTTTCTCAGTGAACTACGAGCCAACCACTGTCTAACAAATGATTTAAACATTCTGATATACATCCACACGGGCTCTGTAGGCTCATATTATCTAACAGGTTGTGCAAAAAAATAAAATAAAAATTTTAACATTTAAAGTATTTTAGTCATTTTTTTGTATATGAAAGTTTTAGAAACAGTGAATGCTAGCTTTTCTTGAGTAACAAATTGTAGACGCACTTTCACTTAAGATTAATTACAATTTCTGCATGTTGAGGGTGGAGTTGCTAAGTTAAGATCTGAACAATAATTGGATGTTTTAAAAAACGTGTGTGTTTGTCTTAACTAAACTAATGAATGGCGCTTTACATTCATTGCTCAGCAATGAAAATGATTGTAAAAACTAAAGCAAGAGAATATCACAAAGTATTATTATATCAATAGCACTGCACTGGAGTTTATATTATATCAATAGTTTGTTTGTTTTGAATTTCGCGCAAAGCTACACGAGGGCTATCTGTGCTAGCCGTCCCTAATTTAGCAGTGTAAGACTAGAGGGAAGGCAGCTAGTCATCACCACCAACCGCTAACTCTTGGGCTACTCTTTTACCACCGAATAGTGGGATTGAGCGTCACATTATAATGCCCCCACGGCTGATAGGGCGAGCATGTTTGGTGGGACGGTGATTCGAACCCGCGACCCACAGATTGCGAGTCAAATTCCCTAACCACTTAGCCATGCCGGGCCCCAATATATCAATAGTACTGCGCTGGCGTTTTTATTATATAAATAGTACTGCACGGGAGTTTTTATTATATCAAAAGTACTGCCCTGGAATTTTTATTATATCAATAGAACTGCACTGGAATTTTTATTATACCAATAGAACAGCACTGGATTTTTTCTACTAAATCTCAGTACTAGAAACGACACAACGAAAATGATGATCTAATCTAGAAAAAGAAAGAAATGAGAGAAAACAAGCTTAGATAGGACAGGAGACTTTTCAAGGCAGATTATCCCTTAATCTGGCAAACATTTTTGTTATGTTAACTTAAATTTTAACAAGTTTGTATGTTCTAAAAATGTTATTGGTGTCTTTTATTGCATGACTTTACATCTTAGTTGTTTTTTTCTTTTCACTACGGTTCACATTAAAAAGAGTATCATTAAGTTGAACAAAGAACTCGGGTGGTGCTATTAGCTGTTATTCACGTTCCTCGTATTTATGATAAATGGAACACGAGAACTACCACTTATTCGTTTCGCGGAATCACAGCTTTCGCGGAAAGACATTTGCCCAGACCACACAACTCCAGAGTGCCAAGCTGGGCCGACTCCATGACTGCCACTTGTTTCTAAACACGTCTATACCAACTAAAACTGAGACGTATCCTCAAGGTTTTTATGTGTCTAAATAGTACGTTGTTCGCTGTTTTATAGACCAGTAGGCGTCATAACCACATTTCCTAACCCTCAAACTCCATATCATGAACAATCATCATTCCATCTTTTATGGGCTTGAATTGGTTCCTCTTTTTTCTTCTCTCTCTCTCTCTTGTGTATTTTAAGAATTTCAATAATTGTTCATATGCTTGGAACTGAAGATTAAATAAGAGTTATTATTATCTGCTAACTATACGCATATATATATATTATGATAATTATCATATTGATAATGTTTAATGTTTCTATTATTTTGCTATTTTTCATTAAGAATAACACTTTCGATTTTGGAAGTTATGGATGCTAAGCTAA